TTTTTTTTTTTTTTTTTTTTTTAAATGGTAAGGAACATAACTTTTTCTTCTTATTAAATAATTTATTGTGTTTATTTGATGTGTCACACAATTATTACATGCCTTTTGTAAGGCTAGCAAATAAGAAATATAATATGAACAAATTTCCATAATAATGATAATGCTTAAAATGTTACCATTTTCAGGTTCATCCTAATCTACTCTTTAGCAATTTCCAAATGATTATCAAACTAAATTTCATGATAAAATTAATACTAAATTACACGTAAAAAAATAAATTTTCCATATATTTAGCACAACCTAAAATATAATTTGAGGGAGCTAATTTTAGAAAATATTGTTATTTTTTCTTGATGGGGAAGAAAAGACAGCTTGATTTTCATCTCGTCCACGTCATTTATTTAAATTAAACTCAAGCCAGATAAATTTATAACCAAATTGAAATTATGGTTTGATGTCGACCCTTAACCCATAACACCTGTTCCCTCTTTTTTATTTTATTATTAATTTTTCCTTTTTTGAAAAGGAGTATAAAAGACCGAAATAGTTAAGAGGGTTCAATTGGATCTTCGAAAGGAGTTCCTCCCGCTCCTAACATAATTCTTCTTCCTTTTATGGCGGGAAACCTGGGTTAGATAACGCTGAATGACGAGGCGCAACGTCCATTCCAGATCCATTCTCGAATGAGCGAATAGCCATTGTAATTATCCTTGATTTGTTTCAACTCCAATTCTGTTGTGTATTTATATTCTCAGTAACCGAGGGAGCGGAAATTGAAGATAATCTGTTGGACTCGATCGAGAGTTGCGACTACAAGGAGCTACAGGAGAGTGCAGATTTAGCCGGAGATGGAGGCGGATTTGGCGTCGGGGAATCGTTTGGTCTTCGCTTACTACATCACCGGCCATGGCTTCGGCCACGCCACTCGCGTTATTGAGGTTAGATCTTCCGTTAAAGAATGTTGATTGAATGTGTTTTTTCCGCTGGATATATGCGATTGATTTCGGTCTGGTTTGAATTCTTCTGTTCTCAGATTTGTTGTTTAGAAATCATGAAAGGTCATTTCTGGTGTCAAATTTCATTAGTTTTGGAATGTCGTGAGATTTCTCCAGTGCTTGATCATATTGTCTTCTTCCGATCGAAATGTTGATTAATTTTGATATTTATTTCCTGTAATGTTGTGTAACTTATCCTTCTGACAGTCTTCTTCTGTTTTGATTGAATGCGTTCGTCTATGCTATGGAGTTTGGATTTCGTTCTGTTATGAGCTCGAATTGGCCTCTCAGTTCTCGAGTCAAATTTCTTTAGCTTTCAAATGTCGAGAGATTTCTACATGCTTGATCGCATTTACACTTCTCTCGTCTGGAATGTCGTTAGTTATAAAGCGTTCTTCCAGTAATGTAACTCAAAACTTCACGAAAGTCTTACTAAATTTTATTCGATTTTGATTAAGTGTGTTCTATTGAATGGAGTTTGGATATCGATTTATCACGAGCTTGAATTCTTCTGTTCTCGGATTTGTTGTTTAGAAATTCTACAAGGCACGTCCTCCCGTCAAATTTCATTAGTCAATGAATATCGAGAAATTTCTTTGGTTCTTGATCACTTTTTTTTTTCTTCTTTTGTTCGAAGTGTTGATTTATGTTGATCTGCGTTTCCTGTAATGTTACTTGTCCTGCGTTTTCTGTAATGTTTTTCTTCATGGAATTATTTTTATTAGTCATTATGCATTGCTTTACTACGTTCTTGATCTTCTTCTTCTTCGCTTGAGAATTGTTAATCCTACTTTTTCTGTGCAAAAAGGTCGCTCGGCACCTGATACTTGCTGGCCACGAGGTACATGTGGTCTCCGCTGCCCCTGAGTTTGTTTTTACTTCTGCAATCCAGTCCCCTAGGCTATTCATTCGGAAGGTAAGTTTGACCAAGACTTGCGTCTGACTGCTAGTGATTGCTGCTAAGATGTTCATCAAGCCAATTCGTTTCATTTTAAATATGTTTTCAATTATTTATCATTTTAATAATCGAACGTATTCTGCTAGTGGATATAACGCAGAAGTTTCAGTTTTAATTTGACTTTAGACATCATACTTCTTATTTTCTATGTGCAACGCTTCATAGTTCATATTAATATTATTGATTACTGTGTTATTTTTTTTACACATTGCACACCTCCTCTCATTTGAGGTGCACATTTTCTTTCTTCGGTCTCGCACTGAAGAGAGACCTCACGCTTTTTTAATGTAATTGGAAAAATGAGAACTTATGTGATGCATTCTTCTTGGGGACTAAGGCAAATATTGTTGATGTACTCGATCAATTAATAATGATTAACATTTAGATGTAGCTGAAGCTTGAACAAAAGTTGATAGTTTTTTTTTTTTATAATATAACATGTTTTCATGAACTTGTAGAATTTGAAGTTAAGTGCTTGATTTTCAGTTGGAACTCAAATCACATCCACTTATAATATTGTGGCAATTGATAGTTGCAACCAAACCTCTAAGTATTTGATAGATTTATATATTTTTTAATCAACTGTAGGTATTGTTGGACTGTGGGGCTGTCCAGGCTGATGCACTGACAGTCGATCGCCTAGCATCCTTAAAGAAGGTGAGGAGTTACTATCATCATTATCCTTTTTAATTTCATTCCAATTTCGTATTTGTATCCACGTCGAAGTGTATACAAAATATGACATGTTGTCATCGTCCTTCCCTATTAATCTGCCATCTTATCACAACTACTAATTTGTTCTCTTCTTATCAGGTCACTGGTTTTTTATTTCCTTTTCTTATCGTTTTACTAAATATTGTCTATTCCTTTGGTCATTTTTAGTATCACGAGACAGCTGTTGTGCCCCGGTGTACTATTTTGGAAACAGAAGTAAAGTGGCTGAAGTCAATCAAAGCTGATTTAGTGGTAAATACTTGTGATATATGCTTACTTAAATCATTGCCACTTTTTTTTGACTATTTGGTTATGTGGAATTGGTCATGAGATGGAAAATATTGTGGCTCTGGAGCAAAGTAGTACAATAAATTATAGGGCAACTTTCATGATTGTGGACTTTAAGTCACGACATGAATAATTTAATTTAAATTATATTTCCAGAATTTTGATAATTTTGCTTCTATGAAATGTAAACAGGTTTCGGATGTTGTACCAGTTGCTTGCCGTGCTGCTGCTGATGCTGGGATTCGCTCTGTTTGTGTTACCAACTTCAGGTAACTCATTGACACTAGCGCGTTTACTCTTTTACTTGTAGTATCACTTTCACTTATTTTTCATGATGTCATGCAGTTAACAAACAAAATGTTTTGAGGCCAGTAGTCATTAACTTTAGTTTTGCAGTTGGGATTTCATCTATGCAGAGTATGTAATGGATGCTGGGCATCACCACCGTTCGATTGTCTGGCAGGTATTTTTTTTTTTTTTTATTTGAATCAGTATTTGAGCATCCCTAAACGATAAGCATTTTTTCCTTGGTTAGAAACAGGGGTTAACATTTCTATAAAACTAAATTCAATGGCACCTAGAAACAAGTGGACTTTAATTTTTTTCACCGTTCTGGTGGTTATTACTATTGTTACTTATTGGACAATTTTGAATTGATATGACTTTTAGCATGTTTTAACACCTAAGAAAGATTGAATGTGAAATTTGAAAGTGTCAATGACGTCTGTTCTTCATTTTTTGTATCAGTGAAGAGAAACTGTGTACTGTGATGCTATAATTCTTACTGTTCTTGGCATAGACACCTAATCTGTTGTGCTGCTGCAATGCAGATTGCAGCGGATTATTCACATTGCGAGTTCCTGATCCGCCTCCCAGGATACTGTCCAAGTATATTTTTAAGACAGTTGCATTTTCCCCCTTCCTACTACTAGACATATATTTGCATTTTATAAAATTAGTTCTATATTCATTATTTTTTCATGTTTTTGATATTTTGTCTGCATGCGTCTTGTTTCTGCAGTGCCTGCTTTCCGCGATGTTGTTGATGTACCTCTTGTTGTGAGAAGGTTGCACAAAACACGGCAGGAGGTTTTGCATTCTACTGAGCTCCTTCACTCGATTATTTTTGTTTCATATGTGATTCTCTTACTCAAGTTCTTATTATAGGCGAGGAACGAACTGGGTATTGGAGATGATGTCAAATTACTCATCCTTAATTTTGGCGGACAGGTGGGATGAATTGATTGATTCTTTTCCTATATGGTTTGTGAAATATTTGTTAAAATCTCCATGTCAAAAGTTTGATTCTTTCTTTTGTTTGCTCCTTTGAATTTGGATGCCTGCTTGGACTTCATCACACCGCGAAACACTTGCATACTTTGACTAGATTACTGTTTATGCACTTGAATTTTTAATTTCACCAAGTTATATTTTTGGAACTTTATTTGTCTTTGGTTGCATGACTTTGAATAAGTTTTTGTATTCCACTAAAGATTTACATCTGTTTCATTGTCCTTTTGTCAGCCTGCCGGCTGGAAGTTGAAAGAGGAATATCTACCTCCTGGTTGGCTTTGCCTGGTATCCTTGTAGCATTTCATTTGGTTCAATAGTATGCATAAGCTGCTATTATGCTGTTATTTGAAATATCGTATCTTTTGGCGGTCAGGTGTGTGGTGCTTCAGACACTGAAGAGGTTCCACCAAATTTCATTAAGCTCGCCAAAGATACGTATACACCAGATATGATAGCGGCTTCTGATTGCATGCTCGGTGTGTGAAATATAATTTTTTAAGTGGCTGAGCTTAATGAATGGATTGAAACACATCAGAACATGTTCCATCCTTTGCAGGAAAAATTGGTTACGGAACTGTTAGTGAAGCGTTGGCATTCGGAGTACCCTTTGTCTTCGTAAGAAGAGATTATTTTAATGAAGAGCCATTTTTAAGGAGTATGCTTGAGGTGCTATTATTTAGTTTGTCTTCAATGATTCTCTCCTTGTAGTTTTTTCTCTTTCTCTACAAATTGGTTAATAAGTCCTATTTGTCACTGTTCCGTTAACAGTATTATCAAGGTGGGGTTGAGATGATAAGGAGGGATTTACTCACTGGTCAATGGAAGCCTTATCTTGAGCGTGCTATTAGTTTGAAACCTTGCTATGAGGGAGGTGTCAATGGTGGTGAGGTACACTCCTGTTCTATGATTTCTTTTGATGGTCACAGAATCAGGATCCTGTTACTTGCATCTGTATGGTTTGAGGGACATGATGTCGCATGATATAGAACTATCAATTTTCTTGATATGATCAATCAATCTATCTCATGCATTATCTTATTTTTAATAGGTTCATTAACTTCGGATTTGTACTTATTAACTTAATCCCATTGGGTGTTTCCAAGATATGAGGATATCTTAGATTTCCACTTAAGGCCATGGCATTGTTTGAATTTTTTTTTTTGGTTCCGATGGGGAGGACGGACTAGAGCAAGAGATGAAATTGCATAAATACCCTAAATAGGAGGCACAAACTATCACACTTCCAGAGCTATCGGCCTTATGAGATCCTTAAGGTTGAGCCGTCGTTAAGGATTTTATTAAAGAAATGAAGTGCTCTTATGAGGGTGCTGATGATATTCGACTAAAGCAGCTAATATACTGCTATATCGACATTCTTAATCTTACAATTCATGACTATGATGTTCATGATCATTTTTCCAGTTTACCACTTAGAATGTCATTTTAACTTGGAACTTCACCCGTTTCTGATCTATCAATCTTCCCTAGTATTTAATCTTTTTTGGTTCTTCCAAGTGATTCTTTGAGATCCCATCATCAATGAAATTGTTGTTTTTAGTTTGCACTTCTTATGCTCTTTACTGTTTAACGGTTCATATTTCTTCAAAATCTGCAGGTTGCAGCCCATATTTTGCAAGAGACAGCTAGCGGGAAAAATTATTCATCTGACAAGGTCAAGAAACTTTTTATCTTGTGAAATATGAGTAAAAACGGCATTGATCATATCCTTTTGTTATGATAGAATTAGGCATTTTCGTAATTAGGCATTACCAAGACACCAACTTTAACATGCGTTTTATTGGACAATTTAGTTAATGAAGGTAAGTAGTGTATATGTATGGTTCAATATATTTGAAAAGAACTAAAGAAGTTACGTTCTAATTTCGTTACAATTTTCTGTGTTTTGTTTTTAATCACACCAGAATTTCATTATAGCTTCTTTTTGAAAATGTAGTTTAGTGGGGCAAGAAGATTGCAAGATGCCATAGTCCTAGGATATGAACTCCAAAGGATTCGTGGTCGAGATCTCTACATTCCAGAATGGTATGCGAATGCTGAAAATGAATTTGGCCTTTCGAAAGCACCACCTACTTCCCGAGTGGATGAGAGAAGCTCACCAATAGACTAGTGAGAATCTTGTTGCATTTGAAGAGTTCTAATAACTTGGAAGAACAATTTGTATAAATGTAATTTGATGCCTCTCCATTTGTTCTTTTAGTTCTATACAGGATTTTGAGGTGCTTCATGGTGACGTTCAAGGTTTTCCCGACACAGTGAGCTTCTTAAAAAGCTTGGTCGAATTAAGTGCATTGAATGACAGTGGAAACACTGAGAAACGGCGGGAACAGAAGGCTGCTGCTGGACTCTTTAATTGGGAGGTTGTGTTCACATGAACTAAAATATTCTTTTAATTTCATCTCACTACTTTTTCGTGGTGCTCAATCATCTCAGTCGATAATGGTAATAATATAAATGTTAATGGATTTGGAGGAGGGACTGTTTAAATACACTATCTTTGCTTAGATCAACATCGTATAAGAAGCTCTTAATTTGCTGCATTGTCATCTTCTAAGTAATATTCAGGATTAAGGACCGTGCTTTAATTTACAGATATTACAGCTTTAAGAGGAATAACCCATCGAATGCAATGGTTTAGTACTTGGGATTGCCACTTCATAGTACAAAGTAGTGTTGAGAATCCAAACAAATTTTCAAACACCGTAGTTTCATGGTCCTACCTTTGCCTTTTAATATAATTTTTCCCCTTTTTCTGTTCCCTACAGGAAGACATTTTTGTAACAAGAGCACCTGGAAGGTTGGATGTCATGGGAGGCATTGCTGATTACTCTGGAAGCCTCGTCTTGCAGGTACCATCGATCATTGATCTTGTAGTCTTTTTAATAATAAGCAGAAATTTGGATTAGCAATTAGAGTAGGCGAAATGCCAAATTGATTCCTTATCAAGGTCGTGAGTTTCCCTCCTTACAGAACACAACAGGTATAGAAAAAAAAAAAATGTTTTGTTGGCCTGACTGCTTTCTCTCTCTCTCTCTCTCTCTCTCTCTTTTTCCCCATGGTTTTCCCTTTTAATATAATATTTAACTTGTTTTATTTATATCAGCTTCCATTTTTCGTCAAATGTTCACTCATTTTTCCGGATGATCTCTACTACTGTTTCTCTTACAATCCCTTATCCTTTCTTGCATTTTTGCTCTCCCCCTTGCCTCTCCAGATGCCTATAAGAGAAGCCTGTCATGTTGCAGTGCAGAGAAACCATCCTAGTAAACATAGGCTTTGGAAGCACGCACAAGCTCGACAGAATTCCAGTGTACAAGGCCAAACACCAGTTCTTCAAATAGTATGTGTCATCTTCTATGAGGCCCCTCTTTGCACAGCGCACTTCGCAAGCACTTCTTTTTCTTGTCATCGTAATTGCACTATTTTATATCTTTATCAAATTCCCTATTATTAGAAAGTTGGCTCTATTATTTTCTATAGAAGCGTTACAGTAATTTTTTTCTCAAAGAAGTTTGATACAATGATTGAATTTACTTACTATCTTGGCCGTCTTGTGGGTTAGAAGAAAAAGAACGCAAGTTCTTTTAGAAATATATTAATGAAATTCAGATTGTTTGAGGTGTTTCCTTTCTTCTTAATTGTTATCCAAATCAGGTATCTTACGGGTCTGAGTTGAGCAACCGTGCCCCAACCTTTGATATGAATCTATCTGATTTCATGGACGGAGAGAAGCCAATTTCGTATGAGAATGCAAGAAAATTCTTCGGTAAAGATCCAGCACAGAAGTGGGCAGCATATGTTGCAGGTACAATCTTGGTTTTAATGAGAGAGTTGGGCGTACGATTTGAAGACAGTATCAGTGTGCTGGTATATCTCTCTCTCTCTCTTTATTGTTTGCAGACAGTTATTAAGTGCAAATATGTATGTGAAACTGTTGATAATTCATTACTTCTGTAGTAACATATATCTTTTCGATCTATAATTTCCACGTACGGACTCTTACATTGCAAATATAACAGGTTTCCTCAGCGGTGCCAGAAGGTAAAGGTGTATCTTCATCTGCCTCCGTGGAAGTGGCCTCGTTATCTGCTATAGCTGCAGCTCACGGTAATTTAACTTCTTGATTATTAATTAATTTAAATATAATCAAGAGAAACTCTTTTTTTTTTTGAGTTTAAAGATAAGCAATGCTAGTAAATCTGCTTGGACGTGTTTCTGCAAAGTAAAAACATTTAGCGTTAGGTTAACTCATGTATAACTTTTCAATAAAACCCTGTGCACTTTAGGTGCGAGATCCCCGATCAATTGGGGAGGAGAAAGAAACACCCTTATAAAGGGTGTGGAAACCTCTCCTTAAATGCATTTTAAAAACCTTGAGGGTAAGCCTGAAAGGGAAAGCTCAAAGAGGACAATATCTGCTAGCGGTGAGCTTGGGCCGTTACAAATGGTATGGTATCAGAGCCAGGCACCGAACGATGTGCCAACAAAGACGCTGGGCCCTAAAGGGAGTGGAGGATGAGTTTGAGCCGTTGCATTAGGCATGACTTTTATCATTAGTTAATGCTAAAACTGACAGACGAAGTTACTTCACAATTTTATTTCGCATAAATTTAAACTGGATTCCTTTAGACCCATTCGTAATGAAAATAACTGTTTCCAATTTGTTTTTGCATGCGAATGATATCGACCATTTGTATTGATTGGGTTTAATTTTTCTGACTTATTTTTGTCTCGAGTGAAGTAATTTAGCTTCATTTATTAGAGAAATCAATTGAACGGATGTCATTGATATCGTACAGGATTGAGTGTCGGTTCAAGAGATGTAGCTCTACTTTGCCAAAAGGTTCGAACCCCAATGACCTTCTCCTTATCAAAGGCTTCAACGCCACTTTGTACCTAAGCTCTCAGTTGAATGCCTAATCACGTACTAGGTGGAGAATTGCATTGTGGGAGCTCCATGTGGTGTTATGGACCAGATGACGTCAGCATGCGGAGAAGCCAACAAACTACTAGCAATGGTGTGCCAGGTACAACATATAATCATTTCAGGGCTGCCTACTATGATATGCAGTTTTCCTTTTCAGTGAGATCATAAAAGTTTGGTTGTTATTTTCAGCCTGCTGAGGTACTTGGACTTGTTGAGATACCAAGCCATATTCGATTTTGGGGCCTTGATTCAGGAATACGCCACAGGTATCATTCTACTTTTGTCTTCTCTGTTTTGTTGTTTGGCTTATTAGAATTTCGGCCATAAGTGGTTTGGAAAATTACTGTTTTTTGCCCTTGTCTGTCATTTTTAGAAAGAGCTTTGATTTGGATTTCTCTCACGCCAAAATTCTTTTTCTAGCAAAGGAAAAGCTTGTGAAGTTCCTAATTTTACAAATTATTCAATCTGTCATGTGTGTTTTACCATTGAATCGAATCAAATCAAATCCCTTCAGTTAAAAGTGCATGAAGTTTCGAAAACCTAAAAAACTTACATATTGGGAAAACTTGTCTAAGTTAAACTCTTCTAATTCGAAGTTTCAAAAACTTGCTAACATAAGCGAACTGAACTTTAATAATTTAACCTTTTCATTTCGTTTGAGTAACTCAAGCATCTATGTATCACATGCAAGTTATCCACATCCTTTTATAATTTGATTTGAAGCAATGTTCGTGAAATGAAGCTAAGACTTCGTTTAGTAACGTTTTCAATTCTATTTGTTAAATTTGTGCTTGTTTTCTTCCAATTTTTCAATATGGACTTTTTTTACCTTTGTTAAAGAAAATTTTAAAGCTGCACTGTTTCTCTGGTAGTGTTGGCGGTGCGGACTATGGTTCGGTAAGGATAGGAGCATTTATGGGCAGAGAGATCATCAAGTCTACCGCATCTTCTATGTTACCAGTGCCATCTTCCGTCGCTAATGGTGTAAATAATTATGATTCTGAGGATAATGGTGTCGAATTGCTTCAATCCGAGTCTTCGTTGGACTACTTGTGCAACCTTCCGCCTCACAGGTAATAGAATGCCCCTCTTAACATTTTCCCTTGAATTTGAACGTTGGATTAATGACATTCCCCTTGATTTCATCAATCCACATCTATCATCCCATAGCCATTTACAAAACATGATTAGAGATAGTTTCTTTCTTGAAACCGTTATTACTATAAGACTCTCCACAGTCGTATGATATTGTTCATTTTAAACATAAATTCTCTTAGCCTTTTTTTTGGTTTCTCCAAAAGACCTCATATCAATAGTGATAGTGTTCCTTACTATCTTTCTATTTCAGGTATGAAGGTGTGTATGCAAAGGTGCTCCCTGAATCCATGACTGGGGAGAATTTTGTGGAGAAATTCGTTGATCACAACGATCCAGTTACGGTGATTGATGAGAAGCGCAACTATGGAGTTAGAGCTTCTGCAGGACACCCCATATACGAGAACTTCCGTGTCAAGGTTTGGAATTATAAACTGTAGCCTTAGTTACTATATTAACTCCTAAAGAAATTAACTACGTTACTCTTCTTCACTTCTTTTATGTGAGCAGGCCTTCAAAGCCCTGCTTACTTCCGCAGCTTCTGATGAGCAACTTATATCCCTTGGAGAGCTGTTATATCAGGTTTGTTTAAGTGTCTAATTGCTACATCTTCATCGCGTTTTTCAAAATTCTAAAAGAACTTATGAATAAAAGAAAAGAAAGGTTGGTAAAAGTAGATGTTATTATGGGGTGCAGTGCCATTACAGTTACAATGCGTGTGGACTGGGGTCAGATGGGACAGATAGGCTTGTACAGTTGGTACAAGAAGCCCAGCACTCTAAGTCTAGTGGATTTGAAGATGGGACCTTATATGGAGCAAAGATTACTGGTGGGGGCTGTGGCGGAACAGTTTGTGCGATTGGCAAAAACAGCTTACGCAGTAGTCAGCGGATCATTCAGGTAACCCCCGAATTTTCTAATCCCCTCTCTTTCTTTCTTTATTTTTTAATTATTTTTTTATTTTAATTTTAGTGAGTTTAACCAATGCAAACTTATAATCTTAATTTTTAAATCAACATTATAGAACCAACTTGAATATAGCTTAACAACACCTTTAACTAAGAGGTAAAGTTTTGAATTACTTGAAAAAAAAAATTGGTATATATCCATCTTAATTGGCTCACATAGACATTTTTGGTTTCCATCACTTGATATAAAATAACGAGAATCATATTACTTTTAGAAAGAGAATAGTAAAATAAATTTGGTTTCTTTTTTTAAAAAAATTGTCCTTTTAAAATGATTTTCTGTTTACAACTATACAACTATCATATCATCATTTTTTAAAAAATTCTACCAATCAATATACTTATTTTTATAAATTTAGTTTTCAAACTTTTATCTTTATATTTATATTTATGAAATATTAGATAGGTTGTAGAAAAGTTTGAAAAGGCAATTTGAGGACAAGTACCATATTATGATTTCTTTTAATTTTTCCGTTCAATAAATTTAGCTTTCAAACTTTATTATTATACTTATATTTGTGAAATATTAGAGGAGAGAAAAGCTTGTAGAAAAGTTTGAAAAAGAAAAATAAGATGGTGAGAATAGACCAATGGTTGTAGAAAGAGATTTTAGGAGAGAAATATTAGAGGGAGGAGTTAAATGTTAAAATAAATTAATAATATTAATTTAACCTCTCTCTATTCTCGTATTTTTAAATTTAGAAACTAATTAAAAATAATTATTTATCTTATTTATTGTTTTGACGAATCCTCAAGGCTGAGTAATCATATTGGTTTTGGCTAAATCCCAGATTCAACAGAGGTACAAAGCTGCAACGGGTTATTTGCCGTTCATTTTCGAAGGCTCATCTCCTGGTGCTGGAAAGTTCGGGCATTTAAGAATAAGACGACGCATCTCTCCAAAACATTAAACTAATCTATTTCTCATAAATAGACGCAATGGCTCTGTCAAAAAAACGTCACGAATTATGTTGTTTATGTATTCTATTTTACGCACCAATGTTTTCATGGGAATGTTTGGCTATTTATTTATTTGTATAGTTGTTAAAACTTGATTTGATTTTTTTTTAGTTTTTAAAGCTTGAAATGAATTTTAAAAACACTAAAGGTAAGAAACAAAGAAATGAAATAGTATTTATAAGTTGAATTTTTCAAAACGAAATGGTTGTCTAACAAAATCTATTTTTTTCTATTTTAAAAAATTAAGCTAATAAATACTACTTTTATTTGTTTTAAAAGCTACTCTTAGGAAAATATTCAAAATCTAACCCAACTTTATAAACTAAAAAAAATAAAATTTTCAAACAATTATTTTTGAAATTTTCTTTAGAATTCAAATATTTTTTCACATGAAAGTGGAAAACTAACCAAAAGAAAACAACAAAATGATTACTATCTATGTTTTAATCGAGTAATTTTGTTTATAAAACAAACCTATTAACACTTTCTGCCATTTTTTTTTCTCCCTACTTCTACAGTGGATTCCATGTCATTTTTTATTTTATTTTTATGATTTAGACCTATCTTTGACCACTATTCTCATTTTTCATTTGCTTGATCCTCATTCTTCCAGGTACTTATTTTTTTTATTCTTAAATTTCGCATAAAAATTGTTTAAAAAAAGGTTCATGGATATTTTTACGAAAGTTTGCAGAGCAAAAGCTTTTACGGAAGTATTACTACCTGGAGATTGGAGAGCTGGTACTTAGCATCGCTATTCTTCTCCTTCAGCAGCCAATTATTTCAACGGTGCCGACTGCTGCTAAAATTATTCTATAAAGTCATTGACCATCTCGACGTAAGCATCCAGATGCTCTCGCTTCCACTCCTTGAATTTGCAGCAGATGAAATTGTTCATATAAAAAACAATGAAAAAAAATAAAGAATAGCATTGAGTACAGATTGCATTATTGCACTTCCTAAGTTTCGACCCCAACAAAAAAACAAAACCACCCCAACAATATTTTCACAAAACAGTGAGATTTGTAAGAAACTATCGAATCTTCATAATAGTATGATATTATCCATTTTGAGCATAAGCTCTTGTGACTTTATTTTTATTTATAGGGATGATGTTCTTATTCATAAATTCATGATCAACACATTGATTAGTGACTTCTCCCCCAACAATCCTCAACAAAACTAACCAAAATCTAGCAATGAATCTAATATCAAAATTAAGAAATCTCAATCCATCCATTGGATTCATGATGCAAACATAAGGAAAGTGACTAAGCGAGTCTTGGACCAACTCTCGAGTGGGAGGCAGGGAGTCGGAAAATGTGAGGAAAAAAAAAAAAAACAAAATTGATTCAATTTATTTACTATATTAGTTTTCGATTAAATCATTGTTGAATTCTACGAAAGGGAAGTAGAGGATTAGTATCCATGTCGCATGAGCATGTTGTGAAATGAGAAGCCAAAAACAAAAAGTTTCTTCTCCGTGGGTATGATATACAAATCTTATATTATGATGCACGAGTGGAGAAAGAAAGGATTGTGTTTTACCTCAAAATCCCAATGTCCGTACAAGTCAGGATCCTTTTCGTTGCACCAAACATAAGCATAAACTACAAGCTTCTCAAAACTGTCCTGCAAACAGTCAACGAGAGCCTAAAAAAATTCTATAGAATCACAGTCGTCGATTATCATAAATGATTAAGTGATAAGAACTCCTCATAAGAAATATTGCAAGGGCCGTAGAATAACAATGTGATCTCAAAGTTTGTTAAGTTTTTCATTAACGACCTAGCAATTTACAATAACTACTAATATGTATGATGCATGGCAAGTTGAAAATATCCATATCAGAAGGTATTTTATAGTAGTCCGTACTTGATTGTAAAGGAAGTATATTTTCCGATTCTACGATTGATTCGAGTACAAAGTACTTGACAATAAAATACAGTTGAGTACCAAGATGAGTCAAATACTTTACCATTAAAGAGACCTCAACTGTGCTCCTCTTGTATTCAACATCCTCATATGCGTCTAAAATATCCATTTCGGAGGCTGTGATGCCTGAAAGAATCTGCAGAGAAAGGGATGGTTGATAAGAGTACAGGATAGTTCAATATGAAAGCATAAAACGACATGGAAAAAATACAGGTTCATTACTAGTCGAACGTGGCTTAATTCAACACAGGATGGCATTACAAACCTTGCCAGATACTTTCTTGCTATTAACAGGTATGATCGCTGGATAAACTCGTCCTTTAATGCTTAATCTTTGACTGCAAATTCTCAAGCAAGTTACAGAGTTCAATCATGGACCCGGGAATATAAGCAAGCAATAGAAGAATATTTTTAATCTTTTCTTATCATAATGTAATCATATAAACTATGAATCAAAACCTTGAAAACTAGAGCAAGCAAATAGATGCTGAGCAATAAAAGTTTGTAATAATTATTCGGAAATCATCATTTGTAAACACAGAGAAGAGTGAAACAGAGAAACAGTATCAAATCAAGTAAATGATAAGATGGATGCATAGAATAAAATTTTCCTCTAGGATTCCAACATGAATTAGACTATCATGAATGCAAAGTTTTGCTTCAAATTTACCAGAAGAAAAGAAAATAACTGTGATGATATGCAAATCAAAGAGTAAGTGTAGAAAAATATTTCTAATGTAATATTTTCTTGTCTTAATGCGAACATTAACTGAGAAACAAAACCTAGAAAATCACAAGTACAGAATTCGTTAACAATACTTAATAGAAGATCAAAGTCAATAGATCACAGATTTCTGTGACAAGAGAATCAAACAAAGAAACAGCATCAATCCGAGTAACTAAATGATTGATAGCGCAATCAAATTCTCCATAAAAAATAAATAAAAAAAACCAGCACAATTTAGCTTGCTTCAAATTTATCGAAAGAGAAGAAAGTAACAGTGACGGTTTGGAAATGAAAGAAATAAGAGAAGAAGAATATTTCTTATGCAATCCTTCCTCGCCATGATGCTAATATCAACTAAGAAACAAAACCTATAAAATCAGAAGCATAATAGTTCGCTAACAATACTCAAAGATCAACATCCAAAAACTCTATAGAGACAAACTATACGAAGAAACAGCATCAATCTGAGTAAACTATAAAATCGATCGAGCGAATAAAATTTCTTTAGGAAACCAGCACGAATTAGCTATCATCAATGCGAGTTTTACTTCGTTTAATCAAAAGAGTAGAAAATATCAGCACGATTAGAAAATGAAAGAGCTAAGAGTAGAAGAGTATTTGTTATATAATCCTTTCTCACCATAACGCTAATGTCAACCAAGCAACAAAACCTAGATAATCAAAACAAGCATACAGTTCGCTGACAATACTAAATAGAAGATCAACATCCACGTACTTCAGTAAATACAAATTACACAGAGAAAAAACACAAAGCCAGGCATCACAAGATTAATAGAGCGAATCAAAACCTAAATAGAAAACCAGCACGAATTAGCAAATCATCGATGCGAATTTCACTTCAAGTTCATCAAAATAGAAGAAACTAACAGCGAGGATATGAAAATTGAAGAGCTAAGAGTAGATGATGAAAGAACAGACTAGCCATTGAGGACGGCAGCAGAGGACTGAGAATCACGCTTCAAGAGGATACGAAGGACTTCATCAGCCATGAGAGTACCGTAGACGAAGACTCTGTGAAGATTCTGCTGCGGCAGAGCAGGCGCGAGAGTAGCTAGAGACGCCGAATCCATTTTCCGCGAAATTGCTTCTCTGTGGATTGTGAGAAGCAAATGCAAATATAAATGTAATTGTTCGCAACTGATTTCGCGCCACCTGGCGCTATTATTGATTACCAAATCACCTCAACCGCATTTCATACCACCGATGTATAATTATAATCCACGCATTTTAAGTTTTTCTTTTTTATTTTATTTTATATTAAATTAACTTTTTTTTCTTTTTATCTATTTAATATTTTCAAATTTGGTGAGTTAGAGCAAATTTTATAAATTTTGAATTTTAAATTTTAAAATGTATAATAAATTAAAATAGACAAAAATAAATGTTAATAAATATAGTATTTTAAGTTATGATTCAATTTTTTCTTTGTTAAATAAAAAATAAGATTTTTTTTACTACTATTAGAATATTATGAATTTAGGATTTATTAAATATTTTTCAAAGTTAGAATAAATTTTAGGCATTGAGTTACATATTAAATAGAATTATATTGAATTATGTAAATTCAAAATATATATATATATATATATATATATATATATATATATATATATATATTTATAAAATTCAACACCCCTATTATATATTAAATTTGTGTTTTTTTAGTAAAGAAAAATGAATCAGAATTTGAACTTCGAAAAAAAAAAATAACTATTGTTATTCACATGTAACCCACAACATCTTTGAATTAACGGTTATTTTAAAGAAAAAATCAATTTTAGAATCGTTTCGTACGGTTTTATGAAACCGTGTGCTATGCCTCGAATCCGTAGTCAATCCTATTTACGATAGGAGCAGTTGACAATTGAATCTAATTTTGTCCATTATTTTCATTTTCGTATCCGTAATAGTGCGAAAAGAAGGAAGGCCCAATTCCAAGTTGTTCAAGAATAGTGGCGTTGAGTTTCTCGCCCCTTTGCCTTAGGATTAGTCAGTTCTATTTCTCGATGGGGGCAAGGGAAGGGATATAACTCAGCGGTAGAGTGTCGCCTTGACGTGGCGGAAGTCATCGGTTCGAGCCTGATTATCCCTAAACCCAATGTGAGTTTTTCTATTTTTACTTGCTACCCGCCGTGATCGAATGAGAATAGATAAGAGGCTCGTGGGATTCTATTTTTACTTGCTACCCGCCGTGATCGAATGAGAATAGATAAGAGGCTCGTGGGATTGACGTGAGGGGGTGGGGATGGCTATATTTCTGGGAGCGAACTCCAGGCGAATATGAAGCGCATTAAGAGTATATTTGAAAGTGATTTTGAAACAGTTAAAATCACTTTGTTTTTCGAAATGAGGGAGCCGTCTAATAGCACATGTCCAAAGTTCAAGATTGTGAAACGTACAGAACTATTGCGGTCGTAAATAACCGAAAATGACGACGATTTCCAAAGCTAAGCCTTACTAGTAAGGTCAAAAACTAATGGATCTAAGTTAAGTAGTAATTGTTGTTAACCATCACTGGAAGCCTCTGGTTTGTTTGGTTTGTGGGATTTTGGAGTTAGGAATCTGTGGCTATGGCTTCTGGAAGTAGTTGTAGTTCTAAGGACGATATGTGCGACTTGAGTACTACGTGGGGCACTGCTCCGAGCAGTTTGTTCTCCCTTGAGATACCATTCTCGAGGAGATCGAGAACTTTTCTCACCTCGTTAGCGAGCTCGATCACCATTTCATCCTCGTGACCTAGAGCCATAATAAGAAATGTTTATACACCTACACAATGGTGAGGAACAAAACCAAAGGAATGTTGCTAGAAAGAATTTGGCTCCATCTAGGGGGATGATAAGGTTACCTATGTTAAACAATGCCTTCTCTAACATGAAAATATAATCCTTATTGTTTCCACAAGGCCCAGCAGCAGTAGCAATTTGTCTAGGATAAGTGCAAAAACGCAAACATTTTTTAGAGCAAAAGTCATTTCAAATCGACCCTTAAAATTTTGTCATTTTACCTAGCCATGTCGTTTAACGGAGCTGGACCCAGGTAGTATTTGTTCACTTCTTTGTCCAGAGTCGATGTGAAACTGCATTTCGGATACGAATCATAGCAAAGTTTAAATAAATTGCATATGGAAGTTAAAAACAATTTAGCCAAGAAAATGCTGGCACATACACAATTACTCCTGAAAGGGCAGGCTCAAGAGAGCTCTCTTCCTGAATAAAGAGATACAACATAATGAATGTGTCGGACTTGAAAAATGTACAAATTCCTTCAAATTGACAGTACCTTGTAGAAGTTAACAAGTGTCTTTTGATCATATTCACATTCTCTATGTTCTAAATACTGCGATTGACAAAAAGAAGAAGAAAAAATTGTCATAACTTTCAAATGGCTTGAAATAAAGTACCAAAAGGAAAGAGTCAATCAAGAAATTCTGGTTTAAGACTAGGAAGACAAGGAAGAAAGATAATGAAGAACCGCAACATAGTGATAAGGCATGTTTGGGAGTGATTTTGAAACGGTTAAAAACATCGCATTTATTAGGTTCAACGTTACTCTGAAACATACTCGAAATGAAAATTGAATTCATGTAACAAAAGAAATGTTTCGCTTATTCTATCGTTTATCAATAGTGGTAACAGCTTAAACCCACCATCAGCAGATATTATCATTTTTGTGTTTTCTATTTAAGGCTTTGTCTTAAGATTTTTAAAACCAGGAGAGGTTTCTACACTTATAAATAATGTTTCATTCCCCTCTCCAACCAACGTGGGGGCCAGCGTACTCGCTGACACTCGTTCCTCTCTCGAATTGATGTCGTTCCCCTATTAAATCAAATGTGAAATCTCACAATCCACCCCCTTCAGGGCCCAACGTCCTCGCTGACACTCGTTCCTCTCTCCAATCAATGTGGATTCTCACACCTACAACCGAAATGAAAACCGAGCGTTCGTGGTTTGGTTTTACACTCTTAAACCCGATTTTTTACCATAAAATTGATTCCAAATGCTTAAAAGCATGTTTTGGAGTGGTTTTGAACAGGGCAAGAGTAGATTTTAACCATTTGAAAGTCATTCTCAAACACATCTTTATACGATTAACTAAATCTAAATAAAAATAAATTGTAATTGACATTAAATTACCTCCATTGCAGTTCTTTCCCTTTCAGGAGTCCCCCGCACACAGTAAGCTGCTCCCCACTGAGGAAAAGTTATGTAGAAAACTATAAAATGAGTAGCAAGAACAGAGAAAGCGATCCATGATCCACTGAGAATATATTCAAACTTATTTAGATCAGTTGATCTTACACAAATTGCTGCTTCTTCCTGTTCCAACGTGAGAGTTCTAGCAGGATTTTCTGGCGTACCTCTGTGATCAATGCATGCTGGTCCAAAGATGAGACAAATTGTTATGAACAATAAAATTGATTAAAGGAAATTACATCTACAACAAATTCTTGCTGGAAATATTAAACTTGCCGAGGTCGAAAACGCGCTTATAATCCTTGATATAACCTACAATTTTCTCGTCAAATTCAAATCCTGGATTCCACACCAGTGAGCCATACCCAAACACCCAAAACACCATGATTATAAAGCTCCTGGAAAAAGGAAAACAATAATCATGAAGAACAATAGATGTTCCAGCCATTTCTTGTAATAACTAACCCTACCCCCACCCCTCCCGTTCGTGGATGAAATGATATCATGAATCTCCAAATCAGAAACCAAAATGCAGATTTAAAGAGCAATTACTAGTAATGCTTCAAAATCAGAGGACAATATTTCTGAAATCGCAATCCATAGGGCTATAATCAGTTCAATTACGCGCTCGTTTCAATTCCGAAACGTGAAATAGAAGATTGAAATCAAGATAATTCAAGAGGAAAATATTAAGAAAAACGTAGAGAAAGAGAGTTTAATTCTTACGCGAAGATCCGAAAACTTTTCCTGGAAAATGAAAGAGAAAGAGGAGGATGAGATTAGAGAGTGGCTGAGTTCTGTTCTTCCTCCCCCTCTTGATTCTCTCTGTTTCTTCTCTCTCTTCCAGGGAAATGGTGTTTTTTCGAGAGGAAGAAAATGAATGAGCATTCTGATAGTTTATAGTACCGCGAAGATGATGAACCGAAACTGAAACCGATCCCACAGAGTTGGGACCACTTGTGTGCCACGTCAGCCGCTGAAGTCTGTACCCGACACGAACGACGACGTATAGAGATCTTAAGTTGTATCACGTGTAACACGGATTCTGTCAGGAATATATATATATATATATATATATATATATATATATATATATATAAATTAATGAAAATATTTCAAAATTTGTATTTTATCTTTAAAAAATATATATATTCCTAAATTTTTAAATGTTTCAGCTTCAATTTTTTTCAATTTTTTTTAAAATCTGATGATGGAAATCTCTTAGCTTGTTTAAAAATACTCTTAATTTTTTAAAAATAATTTATTAGTAACTTAAAAAAATTTAAAAATAAAAAATTACCTATGAAATTTTAAAAATAATATTAACAATTTACCCTTATAAAAAAATTCACAAAAAATATTAAAATCGATGAAGGGAAGAAAACTGGGCACTCATACATTATTTCATACTTTTAAATGTTATTTTTGAAAATTTAGGAATCTTTTTGGAAACACCGTCAGTAAATATATTTTTTATTTTTTATTTTTTTAAATCTCGAGGTGTTTTTTTTTAATTAAAGTTATTAATAATTTTTTTTTGAAAATTCAATAGTTTTTTAAATATTTTTAAAAGTCAAAAATATATTTTAAAAAATTTTGGAAAGTTTTTAGAATATTTTTATAAACAAAGGAAAAATTAAAATATATTTTTATTAATTTAGTTTCGGTTAATATTTAAAATTTATATTTTGTATTTTAAACCTTTGGATTAATTATACTATTTAAAAATTATTCTTTAAATAAAATTTAAATATCTAATAAAACTTTTCATTAAACTTCAAACCTTTTGAACTTTTATGATCGTATTTTAGGGGCGTAACTATAAAAGACTAGTATTTCATATATTAGTTAATTTGAAGTATCTAATAAATCTTTAAATTTTATATTTTATATTTAATAGATCTTAAATTATATACTGACATGGCATTCATCCACTTATATTATTTAAACCATCCTTCTAGATGAGTTATTAGTAGTTAATTTTTAAAATCACTAACAAATATTATCAGCTTTACTTGTTAGGACATTAGCCTCACACTCTTGTAACAAATGTTTGGTTCCCTCTTCAACCAATGTGAGATTTCACAATCTATCTTTCTTGAGGGCCAACGTTCTGCTGACATACTGTTGTTCGGTGTCTGCCTTTAATACCCAAAGTCTACCATTAGAAAATATTGTCCATTTTAACCCGTTACCAGTCTTACGACTTTAACCACACATATAGATGGATGGTCCATTCGTTTTAAATGCTTAGACACGTGTAATTGTAAAGACCATCTTCTTAATTTTCCAACAACTTGGGAAGAGCTAATAACTAATTAGGGCATTGGAAGCGAGCCTCAATTGTCTATTAACCATGATATTTTTCGCCATGATATTCTTTTTTATGAATCGAAGATATTAACCAAACATGTGATTGTTTTTTGTTTTAAAAATACGAGAAACCGAAACAAAAGTAACGGGTAAGAACTGAAAGTTTTAAAAAAAAATGTTTATGATTCATAGAATTAAAAATTTAATAACTAGAAAATATAAAATTGGAAATTCAAGCCAAGTTAAAAATGGATAACAATGTAAAAAGAATTTAAAATTTAAAATTCAGTTCGTACAGTGGAAAAGTGCGCGTTAGACACCCGTGAGGAATGGGGCATTCGTGGCTTCTTCAATTCTACCGCGAAGATTGGGCATCGAGAGCGGAAGGGCAATGCACGAAGCTACGGCTTCACTTCGTCTGAAATTGGTAAAGTGAAAAACTCTCTCTCTCTCTCTCTCTCAACTGATAAATCTTCAGCATTGCAATATCATCATCGTTCATTCGATTTATTTTGCAATTTCGATCACTTTCCAACTTTCCGCGCACTATTTTCTGCTTTACTCTGATTCACTTCTTAATTCATCCGCCAGGCGAACGAAATCGTGAGTATAAGCGTTTATTCTACCCGATATCCTTCGACTCTTAGTTTATTGTTGATGGAATCAACATCGTTTCAATTTAATCTCATATATTTATGGTTTCTTTAGTTTCTACTACGGAATGGCGTTTGATTTTTCATCGTCTCGTGTTGAATCGTGGATAGACTCATTTGGATTTGAAATAGAGATTTGAAATTTTCGAAACTGGAAACGAAGAACATTTGAGTGGGAAATGAAGAAAGAAAACGGCAACCGTGGATCGGGGGTTTCAGGTTCTCGTCGGACGCGGTCTCAGATAGCACCGGAATGGACCGCGGCGGAATGCCTTGTTCTTGTTAATGTGATTGGGGCTGTGGAGGCTGATTGTATGAAAGCTTTGTCTAGCTATCAGAAATGGAAGATTGTTGCCGAGGACTGCACAGCTTTGAATGTGGCTCGGACTTCGAATCAATGCAGGAAGAAGTGGGAGTGTTTGCTGATTGAACATGATGTTATCAGGCAATGGGAGTTAACGATGCCGGAGGATGATTCGTATTGGTGTTTGGAGAGTGGAAGGAGAAAAGAATTAGGACTTCCTGACAACTTTGACGAGGAGCTGTTCAAAGCAATTTATAATGTCTCATCAATGAGGGCGAACCAGTCGGATACAGAGCCCGATAACGATCCAGAGGCTGCCGTTGAGAACGCCGATGAAATTTCAGAGCCTGGTATGATACTTTATTTCCTAGAGCTCTTAGAGATTAAGTTTTCATGTGAATTTGTTGCTTTAAGTACACTTCGATAATAATTATATTTTGATTTTGCGAGTGGTCAACAAGGGAAATGAAAATAAAGAGCATAGAGGGAATGAGTTCTAGAATGGTAGCTTTCTAGGCTACCACATGTCGTAGAGTTCTAGAATAGTTTTTGGATATTACAAAAAATACAGTTTTTGCTCCTTGGCCAACCCCTAGAGGTTGGCCTCAAGGGCCTCAACTTTGGCCGGAGCTCATGGGGGTCGGCCTCTCGGGCTCGATAGTGACCCTCTTCAGATACCCTTCGTGGCCTTTAGACATCCAAGCGATTAGTCATGTCAGTTATGAGCATAATGCAAGCAGGGGCTCTGATAGCCTGGTTATAAGATGATATCTTTTTTTAGTTTCTTGATCAGTGATGATCAGTGATTGAGGAAATTTTAGAAACGTTTTTTTCTTCTTCTTGCTTTCGATGCTAAAAACTCCGGAAAGAATAGTTTAACTGCTTCAGAATCTCAGATACTGTGCTTCCTTCAAACATTTCATGAACATATGTGCTTGTATCTAGAAATCATGTCTACGTAAAAATCAAAACGAGATGTCGAAAGAACCACCCTCAGCATTGAATTGAAGAATAGGAGCAGTGACGCATTATGTTATATAGAACGGGTCGGTATTATGGTGATTCCTGGATCTAGATTCATTATTTCTTTTCCTTCTAATCCATGAGGTGCGATTTGAACTTTTCTAACTGCATTTTCATAAGGGTTAATTGTGAATTTTTTTTAAACCGAAAAAAACGGGTTTGTCATAACTGCATAAATAGCTTTGCATCATGTTCTATAGTGTGGTTAAAGGGTGAGATGGATCTTACAATTGCTGTCTTCAAATTACTTCAATAATATTGGTCTTCTTCTTTCTGATTTTTTCATGTTAGGCCCTAAAAGGCAAAGACGTGGTTCAATGTCTAAGAGAAATCAAGGCCTTGAGAAATCTTTAGAATGTAAAGAAGACGAAGAGGAGGAAGCAGAAGAACAACCTCTATTAAGCTCTCCAGAAGCAGACCTTCGCGATTGCTACATCAAAAACAACGGAGCAAAGGCGACCGACGACATTGAACCCGAAGAGCAAATGATGGTGAAGAAATTGCTTGAAAATGCAGAAAATGTTCAAGAAATTGTGTCTGAGAATGCAGAATGTGTAACTTCTGATGAAAAGAATGACAAGGACCAAACTAATTTGATAAGACGTCAGGGGAGCAAGCTTATCAGATGCCTAGGAGATTTTCTTAACACCATTAACGATCTCCGTGACCTGCTCGAAGACTTTGAGTGATTCTCTCTTCACGAAAATTTCAGTTTTCGTTGACCCACCAAGTAAGCGTTGTTCTCAAATGGTATCCTCGACTCCTTACGTAAATGTTTGTTTAAATCATTTTGTTAGCACGTCTTAGGAAATTGCCAATTTGTTGACGTTTTAGACTTTTGAATCTTCTCGTCTTTCTTCCTACAGACAAAATGTCAGGTTGGCCATTCGAGCAACGTTTAAATGCTGTCGACATTTTCCAGGTTACAGATAGAAACCCAATCTAATGTTTATTTATGAAAACTTTTTTTTTTTGTTCTTTTTTTCATGAATAACAAGAAAGATCGTACCAAACTCCAAACTAGAAACATTAAACTATGTTGTGCTATTCCCTTTGATGGAGAGTGGGGGGAGCAAACTATGCAATATCTCTTAAAAGAATCAGCCTTTAAACAGCTCATCAAAACAAGAAACTTCTCTTTATTGCTTCTCCATTTTGATCTTCCTTCATTTTCCCTTCCAAATACACTTTGCAACACCTTCCCTCACCCATGGCTCATACAACAGACCTGTTTTTACTCATCTTATTTGTAGCGTGCTTTAACACTTCCTCTAGTACCAGTCCCGAGGCCGAAATCCTCATCAAGTTCAAGAGCTCTCTTTCGAACAACACCGCCTTAGACAATTGGGACACGTCGATCAACATCTGCAACGACGATCCCAAAACGAAAGGTAAATTCTGGACTGGTGTGACTTGCAAAGATGGAACTTTGTTTGGGTTACGGCTCGAGAATTTGAGCTTAGGTGGTGTTATCGACATAGACACGCTCGTGAACTTGCCATCTCTAAGGAGCATGAGCTTCATGAACAATAGCTTTCATGGTACAATGCCAAAGGTTAAGAAACTGGGCGCATTAAGAGCTTTGTATCTTGCATACAACAAGTTCTCTGGTACAATACCTGAAGACGCTTTTGAAAACATGAGGTCCTTGAAAACGGTGCGTTTAGAAGAGAATGAGTTTAAAGGACAAATTCCAGGTTCCCTTTCTAGTTTGCCAGCCTTGGTGGAATTGAGCCTTGAAGGGAATCGATTTGAAGGCAAAATCCCTGATTTTATTCCGAGGGATTGGAAGTTGTTCGATTTGTCCAATAACCTATTAGAGGGTCCAATACCTTCTGGCTTAGCCAAAATCGATTCCAATGCATTTGCAGGTGAATAAGCTATAACTCTATAGTTTATTTATTTATTTATTTTTTGCTCTAAAGAAAATAGATAGATAAATAGCCTCTTGATCAAGTTTTCGAGTAAGTAACGATTGTCTCTAATGAGTTGAACTCAATAGATAGTTTTTTTAGCGAAAGAAAAATGTCATAGTTTAATTGGTTTGAGATTTCATATTGATTGGAGAGGGGGACGAGTGCAAGCGAGGACATTGGACTAGAGTGGATTGTGAGATTTCACTTCGGTTATGAAGGAGAACGAAACATTGTTTATAAGGGTGTGGAAATCTTGAAGAAAAACCTAAACCGAAAGTACAAAGAGAGTAATATCTACAAGTGGTTTTTTCGGTTGTATGATGTACCGAGAATTATACTATAAAGTAGTTATTAAATGTGGCATTAACGTTCTAAAATTATTCAATTTAGAGATTATTGTGAACTTTTTGGATTCTTTGAAATTTATTTAGATTCATATTCATAATTATCTTTAGTTACCATTTTCTCTATGAAATAGATATTTTAAAGTTAAATATTTGATCCAAGTTTTGGACAAAATTAATTGAAATCCAGCTAGGTATAGGTTGTATAAACAATGTTAAATTAATATGATCTTAATACAATATTTTATGATTTTAAATTTCAAGTGCATAAAACTTTGTTTGTATCTTAACATTTTGATTAAAATATCTGTAAATTACTAAGCTTATAATTAAATGTTGAACCTAAAAAGTTTCATTTGTCTTTTACAGGGAACAAAGATTTATGTGGACAGCCTCTGAGCCGATGTAAGTCTCCAAAGAAGTGGTACATCCTCACCGGAGTCACTGTCGGAATCGTCTTGGTAGCCGTCATTGTCTTGTACCACCGCTACCGCCGCCGGAGGGCTCTGTTATCGGCGGCAGAACAAGCCCAAAACTCAAAAGCCCACGATCAATTGGGCCTAGAAAAGGCCCAATATCAGGAGCCGACAGAAGAAAATACGAAGCTGCAGTTCGTGAGGGCCGATAAGCCCTTCTTTGACTTGGAGGAGCTGTTGAGAGCCCCGGCGGAAGTTCTGGGCGGCGGCAGCTTTGGGTCGTCATATAAGGCCCTACTTTCAAATGGGCCTCCAGTGGTTGTAAAGAGGCTTCGGCCCATGAGATGCGTTGGGTTCGAAGAGTTTCACGACCACATGAAAAGGTTGGGGATAATTTCACATCCCAATTTGCTTCCGCCTGTGGCCTTCTATTATAGAAATGAAGATAAGCTTTTGATTTCTGAGTTCATGGGGAATGGCAACTTGGCTGATCATCTTCATGGTCATGGTATGTATGATCTTCAACCCTTCTAATACTTAATTATTTCTTTTTTGTTGGACGATGAAAGTCCCATATTGGCTAATTTAGGGAATGATCATGAGTTTATAATTAAGAAATACTATCTCGAGAAGCCTAAATCACAAGAACTTATACTCAAAATGGATAATATCATACCATGGTGGAGAGTCGTGTTTATATAACACTTTTTATATATTTTTTAAATATATTATAGTCGCTAAATTTGACTGACATAATATTTTTCTTATTCCATGAGATTAAATAATTAAATTTTAGATGATAATTTTTTTTTTAATCTATTAAAAAATGGTTAATCGAATTATCTTTCACTCGTCCTAATTTAAAATAATAATATATATTTTTTTAATGATGGATCTACCTAGAAAATACACGTTATTTTTTATATTTTTTTTTTATAGCCAAAAAAGATATATTTTTTTAAATATTCCAGCTCAGCGTACGCCTGAAAATATTGGGCTAGACTGGCCCACACGGCTACGGATCATCAAAGGAGTGGGCCGGGGCCTGGCCCATTTACACAGCGAGTTGCCGAGCCTGAGCCTACCACACGGCCACTTAAAATCCTCCAACATTCTTCTCAACAGCAATTACGAGCCTCTATTAACCGACTTCGGCCTCGACCCTTTGGTGTGCCAGGATCAAGCACAGCAATACATGGCGGCGTACAAGTCTCCGGAGTTCAACCGGCACCGTCGGGTATCCCGAAAGACCGACGTGTGGAGTCTCGGAATCCTGATCCTCGAGCTTCTGACCGGGAAGTTCCCGGCGAACTATCTCCGGCACGGCGGAGGCGCAGCCAACGGCGACCTGGCGGCGTGGGTGAAGTTGGCTGTGCGGGAGGAGTGGACGGCGGAGGTTTTCGACGGCTACATGATGAAGGGGACGAAGAGCGAAGACGGGGAAATGGTGCGGCTGTTGCGGATCGGAATGATTTGCAGCGAAGAGGATGAGGATCGACGGTGGGGATTGAAGGAGGCGGTGGAGAAGATCGAGGAATTGAAGGAGACGGAAATTAATACCGACGATGAGTTCTATTCGTCTTATGGCAGTGAAGTGGAAGCGCGATCAGTCGAAAGGGAATGAGTTTTTCCTTTATATTTTATTTTCGATTTATATTTTTAAAGGTCTAAATAGTAAATAATCTTAATTTTAATAAACCTTACCCTTATTAAACTTTCAAAAAAAAAAAAAAAAAAAAAAAACCTGATTAAACTTGCAATTTAACCCTAAAAAAGAAAAAATTACAAAAATATTGTTACTCCATTGTTAACGAGGAATTTTGTCACAAGAGCTTATTCGGGATAATATCATATTATTGTGGAGATCATGAATCCTAACATGGTATTAGAGTCATTCCCTTGACTTAACTATGTCAATAGAATTCTCAAATGTCGAACAAAAAAGTTGTGAGTCTCGATGGTGTAGTAAAAAATGACTTACGAGGAGGTGAGTCTCAATTAAGGGGAGGCTGTTTGAGGGCTCCATAGGCTTCGAGGGAGGCTGTATGGTGTACTTTAGGATTAGCTAATTTAGGGAATGAGCGTAGATTTATAAGCGAGGAATACATGAACGTACATTTTTGTATGAGGCCTTTAGGAGAAGCCCATAAGGTTAAACTTGTAATTTAATCCGCCACCACGGTCTCTGAAGCTTATTGTTTTTGGAGCTCTCATGTTCTGTGGTTGGTTTAACAGGAAAATGGTGTCAAAAATAGTTGGGAAAGAAAAGGGATGGCGTTTGAAACAATCAAATAAACGAAAATAACTGTAAATAAGAACCAGAGAAAAATGGATGGGAGAGAAAGTGATTAGGTGATTGAATTCAACGATGGTTTTGAAAAAATGGAAATAAAAAACCATATCTTTGTTGGGTCTGTTTGGAGGTTTAGAGCCTGAAAAACAGAACAAAAGCAAAAGCGACCAAAGGGAAAACCAAAACAAAAACAAAAACATCGGAGAACTCGAAATTGTTTTGGGTTCTCCGGGTTTGGTTTTTGTTTTTGGTTTGGTTTGGTTTTCGGGTTTTTTTTTTTGTTTTCGTGGGGGAAGAAATAAAGGATGTGGTTACCAAGATACGGGCTTGACAGGAAAGAGAAACTGGATGTGAAGGGAATTGTGGCAGTGGCAATTGACAGAGACAAAGGAAGCCAAGGGGCTCTCAAATGGGCCATTGATTATTTGCTTCAAAGAGGACAATCAGTTTTCCTCATTCATGTCAAACTCAGATCCCCTTCTAATTCTTCCCAAAGTACTCTCTCTAAACCTTTTGTTTTCGTGTAAAAAATTGTACTTATGTATACCGTGGTCTGTTAAAAGACGACTTTTAACAAAACTTGACATGAATCTTGAAAATGTCGTCCAAGAGTGTTAGATCCCACATTGGTTGGGGAGGAGAACGAAACATTCTTTACAAGGGTGTGGAACGTTCTCCCTAAGGCAAGACCCAGAAGAGAAAGTCTAAAGAGAACAATGTCTGCTAGTAGTGGACTTGGGCTCTTACGAAGAGATCGTCAATCACTTCTTGTAGGTAGAGCATTTTCTCTTCGATCTCGACTAGTCGGTTACACCAAGATGCTTTGGGTAGAGATTTAAACGTTTCACGTTTGGGATAGATGCCTTAATAAATTGTGACGGGTTCGAATTCGGTCCCAAGTCTTTTAACTTGCAATGTTTGGTAAGATGGAGCTGTTTTTGAGTGCAGAGATGAGCTCTAAATCTGACTCTGAAGCCAGCATCAAAGAATTATTCCTTCCTTTTCGTTGCTTTTGTACTCGGAAGGATGTAAGTTTTTTATTTACGTGTTTTTTGAAGATCAAAATTTAACTTTTTGACAAAAATTGTTCATAAAATTGAATTACAGATACAATGCATGGATGTTGTGTTGGAAGATACAGATGCAGCAAGGGCCATAATTGAGTATGCAGCAAATAAGGCCATAGAGAACATTGTTTTGGGCGCTTCAGCAAAATCTGGCTTCTTAAGGCATGTTTTTTCTCCCACGTTGTTCAAAAACTCGATGACCCAAAAAACTCGATCATTGAGGGGATCATTCTAGCCGGAATGATCAGGTTGAGTTGAAAAGGCCCTTTTCAACCCGACCCATGAACAATCTAGTTTTTGTTTTACGCTGCAGGCATGTTTTAATCACTTTTTGTTAGATCTCACATCGGTTGGAGAGGGAAACGAAGCATTTCTTATTAGAGTGTGAAAATAATCTCTCCTTAATAGATGCATTTTAAAACCTTGAGGGAAGCCTAGAAGGAAAATCATTTTTTATTTGTAGCGGTGGGCTTAGGCTGTTACAAATGGTATCAGAGCCAGACACCTGATGGTATGTTAGTAAGGACACTGACCCCCAAGGGGGTGGATTGTGAGATTCCACGTTGGTTGGAGAGGGGAACAAAACATTCCTTATAAGGTATGAGGGTGTGGAAACCTCTCCCTAGTAGACGTATTTTAGAACCTTGAGGGAAAGCCTAGAAAGTCTAAAGAGGGGAACGAAACATTCTTTTTTAAGGTGTGGAAACCTCTCCCTAGCAAACGCATTTTAGAACCTTGAGGGAAACCCGAAAAGTCTAAAGAGCACAATATCTGTTAGCGGTGAGCTTGGGCGGTTACATTTTTAGACCGTATTGTGGTCAGAGAAAGCATTGAAGTTTGTTGTAGATATCATTAATTTGGAATGATTTTCATTTTGTATGGAACAGATTCAAGACAAACGATGTTCCTGGCAGTGTAGTAAAAGGAGCACCAGATTTTTGTAATGTGTTTGTCATTTCTAAAGGGAAAGTTCAATCGATGCGTTCGGCGTCTCGTCCCGCTCCAGTGATTAGTCCTCTACGAGGTCAATTAGCTCAACAAAGCAGCCCGAAATCCGATACGCCCGAGATCCAGATGACTCACTCTGCCAGTGCAAGAGGTAGTTTCTTTCAATACAATTTCCTTTTACTTGATATTTCTGTTGTTCCAATATTCTCCATGAAACTAATGCTGAATTTGTTGGCAGCGTCTGCGGATAGGCCCCCCCTTGATCTGCCATGTAATCTGCCATGTAATCTGCCATGTAATCTGCCAAGTAAAGTGCAGGATGAGACCGATTTCATGAGGTGAGTGTGACCCTTTATGTGTTTTATTGTGAGATCTCACATTGATTTGAGAGCAGAATGAAGCATTCCTCATAAGTGTGTGAAAACCTCTCCCTAGTAGATGTATTTTGAAACCGTGAGGCTAACAATGATACATCAGGTCGAAACAAACAACATCTACTAGTGTTGGACTTGGGCTGTTACAAATGGTATCAGAGTCAGTCACCGGACGGTGCGAGACACTGGTTGGAATAAGGCTAGTCCCTCTCCATAGGAAGCATTTTAAAACCTTGAGAGGAAGCCGAAAAAGGAAAGCCCAAGGAGTACAATATTTGCTAGCGTTGGGCTTGGGCTATTGCGAATGGTATTAGAGCCAGACACCAGGTGGTGTGCCAACTGGACTCCAAGGGGGTGGATTATGAGATTCCACATCGGTTAGAGAGGAATTTTTTTTCACAAAGGTGTGGAAACCTCTCTTTAGTAGACGTGTTTTAAAACCGTGAGCCTGGCGGCGATACGTCACGGGCCGAAGCAGACAATATCTACTAGCGGTGGGCTTGAGTTGTTACAAATGGTATAGAGCCAGTCACCGAACGGTGCAAGACACTGGTTGAAGTAGGGCTAAACTCTTTTCATAGTAGACACATTTTAAAACCTTGAGGAAAGCTCCAGTTACAAATGGTATTAGAGCCAGACACCGGACACCAAACAGTGTGCCAGTAAAAACGCTGGCCCCCAAAGGGGGTGAATTGTAATATCCCACTTCAGTTGTAAAAGAGAACGAAGCATTCCTCATAAGGGTGGAAAACCTCTCCCTAGTAGACGTGTGTTTAAAACCGACAGCAATACGTAACGGGCCGAACCGGACAATATCTACTAACAGTGGACTTAAACTATTACATTCAAAAATTAGATCTTTCGTTGTTAGTACTGTACTCGTATGCGTGCTCGAATATTATATTTGCATGAAGTTTAGCACACGAGCTATTAATATTGAAGAACAACACATGATATCATGTTAAACAAAATGTTGTTGGATGCAGGTCACCATTCACAAGGAAAGGATATAATTACAAACCATCATCACCGACGCAAGAATCGGATATATCTTTCGTTAGCTCCGGAAGACTGAGCATCGATCGTATATTTCCTTGTAGTCAAGATACAGGAGGAAGAGCCACACCACCACAGGTTTCAAGCAGTACAGATTTTGACTTATCTCATAGCTTTGAGTCTCTACAGATGGGACGGATGTCAGCGGATATGAACTTTTCGTCCGAGTTCTCTTCGATCTCGCAAGACAGTGACAGACTTTCGATCTCATCACAGTCTATGGTAAGTTTTGAGTCACTTTGTTGTCTATGCATAAAATTTTCATTTGATGAAATGAAACTATGTTTTAGATGAACTTTTATATGATGGCGTGCAGGAAGACGTCGAGGCCGAGATGCGGAGGCTCAAGCTAGAACTCAAGCAAACCATGGAAATGTACAGCACAGCCTGCAAGGAAGCTCTTACAGCCAAACAAAAGGTAAGCGAAGTCGATTGATTAACGTGCCAATGGCTGCAACATCATATCTACGGTTTGTGATGCAGACAGTCGAGCTACAACGATGGAAATTAGAAGAAGAACAGAGATTAGAGGAGGCGAGATTGGCCGGGGAAGCTGCATTGGCGCTAGCAGAACAGGAGAAGTTGAAGTCGAAAGCAGCCATCGAGGCAGCTGAAGCGGCTCGGAGAATTGCAGAATTGGAAGGACAGAAAAGAATGAAGGCTGAAATGAAAGCACTCAAAGAAGCTGAGGAGAAGAAAAAGGCAGTTGATGCATTGGCAAACAATGATATCAGGTATAGGAAGTATACAATCGACGAGATCGAAGTGGCAACGGAATTCTTTGCTGAATCTCGTAAGATCGGAGAAGGAGGCTATGGTCCTGTTTACAGGTGTAATCTTGATCATACTCCGGTTGCCATTAAGGTTCTACGTCCCGATGCGACTCAAGGACGATCACAGTTTAAACAAGAGGTTGGTTACCATACATAACTCTCAGCTTTTTTGAAAATTAAGACCACAGGGAATCTCATCAGCTAACGTGAAAGATAACCGTTCACAGGTAGAAGTACTCAGCTGTATACGTCATCCGAACATGGTTCTCCTCCTTGGAGCTTGCCCCGAGTATGGCTGCTTGGTCTATGAGTACATGGCTAATGGGAGCTTAGAAGACCGACTTCTTCGACGAGGAAACACGCCACCACTTTCTTGGCAGCTCAGGTTCAAAATTGCAGCTGAAATTGGGACAGCATTGCTGTTCTTGCACCAAACAAAGCCAGAGCCTCTTGTGCACCGTGATCTCAAACCGGCTAACATTCTGCTCGATCGTAACTTCGTCAGTAAGATCAGTGATGTTGGCTTGGCTAGGCTCGTACCGCCATCGATTGCTAATAGTGTAACACAATATCGAATGACATCGACCGCTGGAACATTTTGCTACATTGATCCCGAGTATCAGCAGACAGGTATGCTTGGTGTGAAATCCGACATATACTCGCTAGGCATCATGTTTCTCCAACTGATCACTTCTAGGCCACCAATGGGATTGACTCACCATGTCGAAAGAGCTATCGAGAAGGGGACGTTCGAAACTATTCTCGACCCAGCCGTCCTTGATTGGCCTATTGAAGAAGCTTTGTGTTTCGCCAAGATGTCACTCAAGTGTGCCGAGTTACGACGTAAAGATAGGCCTGATCTTGGTAAGGCCATCCTTCCAGAGCTTAACAGGTTGAGAACTTTTGCAGAAGATACAACGCACCCAACACTGATGGGGGGAGACACGAGCCCCTCTCGCAGCAACAGCCAAGTTTCTTTACAATTTGTAAGTTTAACAATCACTTTTGAAGTACTTTTCTAAACCAACACTAACCCAAAACATAGTACTTCCGACCCTAAACTATTTTAAAATTACTTCGAAACATGTTCTTAGTCATCCGATTCATATTAATCTATTACAGGGATCATCACCGCAATCATACAACAGCTCGAGAAACCCATCGACAACTTTTTGAAGGTAAGGTAGACCACACAATTTATTATATCATTGAAAGCATGTTTGATTCAACGAAGTATTTGATAGCCCAAGAACTTATTTGGATCAAATCTCTATCAAGTTATGCTTTGTTGGAAGTTGGTCTGATGCGGAAGGGAATGCAATTTGTGAATATAAATTTGGATATTTTTTTGGTTCATTATATGGTTCTTTATTTATTCATTTCATTGTATGTTAGACAAGGGTTAACCATGTTTGTAAATCCAATTTACACATTTATTTAAAAGTATTTTTTTTGTTTTTTTTGTATTAGTAGGATGAACAGTAGTCCATTTCCCGTTGCAAAATTACAATAAAGTCAAAATTCCTACTAAAGAACCTGCCTCGCGTAGCTGACAAAAATGAATAAATAAGCCAAAGGCCGCACATAATCCCCCCTCTATTGAGAAGGCCCTAAATGGCTTCAACAGCTTCCTCAACTTTTGGTTTGCTTTTCGGTCGCCCACACCTTCTAACATCTTTGCTCGACAGAAGCTCCAACGCTTTCGCTAAATCGACATCATTCGGCTTCAAGTTCTGTCATCGGAATAACACAACTTTTCAAGTAAAATTGTAAACTAAACCCTTAGCTTGAACAAAAACAAATAAAATGGGCTATATTCAACTCGTTAAAGCATATTATATCCTTAATAACCATCCAAGGGAAATAAATGAAAGTAGGAGGAACAAAAAAAAGACCTTGGGAACGGAAGCTATCGTGCGTCGATGCCTAACTGTGAACCCAGCTTTCGTGATCTTTATTAACACTCGATGACCATCCTTTGGATGGTTTCCCTATCAAGAAGTGTTCCACAAAAATTAGAAGAATTTTATTGAAAGGGAGAAAGAAAGATGATATGTACAGAGAATGAAAATATACCAAAGTAATTGGGTAGCGTAATAGTTCGAGGGCGTCCTCAAGAGTAATAGAGCCCACGTCCTTTATCTGGAAGAGACAAAGAGCCACTCTTGAATCAAAATTTACAAGAAATTAAAGAATATCTAATCATTTTGTGCTAATGAACAGAGCCAATCCCACAAATTTTCAGACATTAACAAAAAAGTTGTATTCTTTAATCTGAAAATATGCGCGAGTTTCATTGTAAATCGTGGCAAATTATAAGACAAGAAAAGAAAACCTCATACCTGGGAAACAGAGGTTCTTTTGGGCATGTACCCTTTCCTGTCCTCACCAAGCTGCACATAAAACCCATATGGACCACTCTTCAAAAGAATCTGAAAGGAAATATTCTTATAATTAACAAAACCATATAGAATGAACAAATGTATGAAAAAAAAAAATCAGCGGTAAACGCAACCTTTTCACTAGAAACTGGATGAAGACCAAGCAATTTTGGCTCTTCCACACTCTGGTTATTTTGAGGAGTAACTTCTTCTTCATCCTCACCATATAATGTTTTTGCAATATATCTGATGACAAAAAGAAAGTCAAGTACCATTTAGCCTGTTTATATGAAATATAATTGATTGTTTGAACTTTGAAGGACATTGGCAAAAGCGATAAATTCTCCCCTCGATGACTGAATGGTAGAGGGATCATGAGAAAAATTGACTCATCCAAACTAAAGTGAAGGAGTTATAACTACATTATTAATTTTCAAACTTACTTGCATCTTGGGTGTTGATCACAACCTATGAAATAGCCTGCACCATACCGACTAACTTTGAAGATCAGAGTGCCCTCCAAACAACTGAAAGAAAAAGAACTAAAATTGAGCATAATACTTACAAGAGTCAAATTCTAACATGCAGTAAAGAAGTACGCAATTTGTTTCGTTATTAACCTTTACAATTTTTTATTGGAAATATGACATTTTATTAGATCACTTAAATGTGAAGAAAAACCATCAGTGTTATTATCAAAGAGGTCAAAACCTGGTGATAAAATGGATGAAAAATAGGCAAACGCATACCTTGGACATGTTCTACAATTATCAGGAAGAAAAGAAAATAAGAAGTCCTCATATTTCTTCTCCAGCATCTTTTCCACCTGAAATATCAGACAGCTTTGGTATTACAGCTGAAGCATTCATCAGGAGAAAGGCTAGGTGTATGTTACCTGATGAATATGAACATTATTAGCACGTTCACAATATGTGCTGAACCGTGTCCAATAATCTCTTAGGAGGCCTTTCCATTCAGTTAAACCAGCAGAGACGTTATCAAGCTGAAGAAAGAAACTAGAACATTAGCTAAAATTTGAGATTTCCCGTAAAGATAATGAACGAGGTATTCATGCTTGAACATCGGGTGACTTTTGTGAATGTCAACCAAACCCAATACAAACGGCGAGCTACTATATTTTAGGCAGAACACAGAAAATGTATGATTGTGATCCCATATGTGGCAGTAGCAAGTAGAAAAACTTCGGTAACAATTGGACTCACCTCATTTTCCATGTCAGCAGTAAAACTATAATCAGTGACCTCGGAGAAATGATGACAGAGAAATGCCGACACCTTAAATCACAAAAGATGGGAAGAGTAAAATAAGAATTAAAATAGGCCTCATCAAAATTTGCACATCATAAAATACAATTTGCAGATAGAATGGCACAGTAAAATGAAGAAGCCTGGTTCATAGGGCTTTTTCATTATTTTAAAAACAATAATAATTATAAGGTTTTGTTTCTTTTTGTTCATTAAAAAACAATCTACTAACTCTAAATGTAAAAACTCATGTTTAAGGTTTTTTATTCATATTCTCACTTCAACTATGCTCTCTATTCTTAATGTATTTTTTTTTTATAGTTAAAATCAAAATTCTTTTATTCGATCGATCGATTACCAATACTGCGCCTCAAAATAATAAAAAAAAAAAGCCAGCATTTTTTTGCGCCTTATTGGCTACCATATGATTTGAACCCAACCCAAAATAGAATTGTAATGAAAACAAATATATCCTGGTCAATGTTGTTGACAAAATGTTGACAACTTTCAAGAAAAAAGATTATACCCCGGTTATCCAAAAACATAACTTGGATTTATGAATATGTCGACGGATACATTTCCCAACATAATTTCATCAATAGTAAACTCAAATGCCTATAAAGTCATAGGTTCATTATATTCTACATGATGGCCTTTGCTGTAACTAAATATTCTCTATTCAAGTAAAAGAAAATCTTTCATTGGATACCTAGAAAAATAAACAAGCAAAAAAACCCTTGAGTTCAGAAAAACACTCCTATGAACTATCAGTCGCGAAATAACGCAGCAATATGCTACCGAGTGCAACCTTTGTTCTCTTCCTTAATAAAAACTTCTGGGTGTCTTTCAATAATTAACCTGCAGTTCTGTCTAGGACCAGAAATGATAAGATATAGTGGATAATGGGACTTCTGTTTGACCCTTCACCTACTTTCTAAGATGCTAGCAAAGGAGTTAAAAAATGACTTGTTCATAAGATGCAATTCTTTACATCCTAAATGGGGCTGTGAAAAGGCAATAAATTAAATTTTGTAGAATTGGAATTCAATGTGATAAGAGTTACAAGCATACCATGCGCCCACGAAACTCTGGATGTAAAACACGACTTTTCACTGACAAGTAGTTCCTGTCCTGAAAGTAAAATGAATCAAAGAATCAGAAGCAAGTGTATGCATCATCATTAAACTGTAAACAAATAACGTGAAAAGGCACATCGGAATCAATAAAAGTGTCATAGACATTATAGGCAGACCTAAAAAAGAGATCCAAGTTCTGTTCTTGATCACCTTACACTACAATGTAATCTATCATTGATGAATACATAAAATGTTTATCAAGGCATATAAAATTTGAAACTGTTAACACAGATAACCAACCACGTCCTCTGTTTATAGGAAATTTAACATGCGTTGTGGATTGGCTTGTAGTGAAATTTAACATGCGTAATTGCAGTTTAACGCTAATTTTATTCAATAGGAGAGTAGGGGATATGAGGACCCAAAGGCTATCAGTATGTTTCAACACGATTCAAATACAACTAAAAACGTGACCCCTCAGCTGAAAGCCAAAACAAGTTCTGTTTAAGAAATCTGTACGGTCACTTCAATGTGGAAAGGAAACCAGGCATATTTTGTACAAAGACTGGAAAGGATTATTGACATTCAGTTTTGAAATTATGATAGCAAAAGTAATATTCTTCGATCCTCCGAGAAGCAATAACAGATACTTAACAGAAAGAAACTAGTTATCTACTCAGAACACAAAATAGGACATTCATAACACTTATGTCCTAAGCTATTCCTCAACACATTTTTCTTATGAGAAACAATATTTTATTGATATGATGAAATATACAAAGGAAGGGTAGGAATCCTAGAGTGGGATATTTCTCACAATGATAGGATGCTATTGTCCATCATTTCGAACCTCATAAAACAGAATAATAAAAGACAAAAATTTCAAATCTATTGTTTGCAATGATCTATAGTAACCTGTAAAACTTTTAATGTGCTTGCATATGTGGAAGGTCTCCCAATCCCTAGCTCCTCCATCTTCTTAACCTGTAATATCCAGTTCAGTGAATAAGAAAATTTCACACAGAAAACTAGACAGATGCAAACGGGTCTGTTCACTTTACATTATGAGGGGTTTATATCCTATATCTGAGAAACCATATATAAGTCTAATCAAATCATATCCTACAAAATAACCCCAAAAGTTATATCCTATATCTGGTGGGGCAGAAAGAAGCAAAATTGAATTGAAAATATATCCTACATATTCCAGAAAAACCAGTACTTATGTTTATTGTTTTACATCCAACAACTTAAATTTCCATAACTAGATGCGAAGCTGAAATTTTTCTACCATTGGGTTTTGTTCAGTTACCAGCCAGAAAAAAGGGAAGTCCAACCCCAGGTTCTCTATACTATTTGAGCCATACATGAAGAATTTGAAGCTCTTGAACTCATCTTAAGTTCAGAATTATAATTTAGATATAATAAAAAGGAATTATATCTTCATTATTTTTTTTATTAGTATCTCCCGGATTTGTTTTTGGTTAATACCTTTCGTTCTGCATTCATTGCTTTCATGGCTAGCCTCCTTTAATTTGTATTTGCCTCTAAGTTCATGATTTTATATTTTTTTCTTTACTTTATTTTCACACCATTTGGAGAGTTTGCATCCCTTGAATATTTATTCTTTTT